ATCTGAGAAACCACAGTTTAAAATTTAAAACTTCATATCGATTTTGGAAAGAATATGTCTTTAAAAATTCCCTTTGATTAGAGAAGAAACGGTAAAGTTATATTATTTCAGACTTTCAAATTGTATTGCCTGCAGAGGAAGGCTAAAAGGAGGGAAAATATTTAAACAAGAAATACCACAAGAATTCTTGGAAAATTTTACTCTTTTGCACAGTGCTGAAGAAATTCCTATGACAATACCTTGGCCCTGGATGGCGTCCTGCCTTAAGACAGGATCCTCTAGGGGTCTCCCTGGTGGTGCAAGTGGTTAAGACCCAACCTATGAAGCTGTCCACAGACTTTGCAGCACGAGTTCAATCCCTGGCCAGAAAGATACCCACATGGTGCAGCAGACCTCTCCTGACTCACCCGCTGCTCCTCTCCCTCAGCAGTGTACTTCTGTCAATCCACCTGTTCTGTTCCCCACTCTGCCTCTGAGTGAATCCTCTCACCCCCCACACCTCTGGCCTGTACCCCAGTTCTTGTATGCATAAATAAATAAATATTTTTTTAAAAAAGAAGGCTTCTCTGATAAAACTCATTTCTGGAGAATACCCCTAACTCTAGGTATCTTCATTTGGTTAAGTAATGGTAGCGGTTTGCCCCAAGGTTCACAGAGCCTCAATTGATCTTATTTCCACATACCCAGTAGGTGGCACTTAAGATATGACCCACTCAGGACATTGCGGGAAAGATTATTTGATCCTTGGGAGAATCACTCTGACCCTTTAGTGGAGACCAATGCCAAAAATTGAAATCATCAATTCTTGTGCCCTAACTAGGTTGGCCATGATATATGAAGATTATAGGTCCTTTTCATGGTACATTTAAAATGCAGTTATAAGTGGCATGGAAAGCTTTCCATGAGTTGACCATTTGATTCTTTCCTATTTACCTTCTCACTCTTCACTCTGTATCATTCTCATTTTACTTAAGTGTAAGACCCGTTCATTTCGTGTGTGTATTATTCTATCTCGACTCTTGAAACTTTCTCCTGCTATTCCCTATTCCTTGAATATCTCTTCCACCTCCCTTTACATAAATAGCTCAAGCTTTCATATTCACATCCAACTCTGTCTTGTCCAGGAGCCTTTTATGTCCTTCCTCTTTGAACTAATGTGCTTTTGCAATTCACCTCATGTTCCCTGTGGATAGCTTTAGGATTCTTATATATCCAAATGTCCTGATCACTTTGAAAAACAGTCCACGATCCCATTCACTTTAGCCCTACCTTTCATCATGGCACTTGTGTGCCTGCCAATTTGTCTTAGAAATATCTTTTTTAACCACAAATATACATACTATAATGAAAAAGAAATCCAAGGACTTAGAGACTACAGTGAATCTTTTTTTCATTGGGTAGTCTTAGGTGAATGTAGCTTTTTGGTAAATTTAAAAATTATTTTACTTGTTCTAAGAAAGAATAAGTAAAATAATTTAAATAAGTAAAATATATTTGAAATTGGAAAAGCAATCACTATAGTTTCAAAGGTAGTCAACTTTCATCATTTAACCGTGTGCATGTGATTATTTTGTCATATAAATGATTTTAAAATGGTATCCCCTTTGAAATGGGCTACAATTTGTATAAACCTTATTTTGCTAGGAAATCAGACACTGTAGTCCTTATCCCCTTATTAATTTACATCACTTTGTTTTCTATTACTTGATAGACAATCAGAATGTATTCTTACGTTGGAAAAAAAGCATTACATAGTGCCTCTCCTTATGAAACAACTCTGAAAATGCTTCTCACTTCTATTTTTGTAAAGGATTGTGAGACTCAATTAACGCTGGTGTGAAGACTTGAAGGAGGCTGAGGACTGACACTGACAGTTTTGAACACACACGGGAGTTTATGTTTCACGGAGATCGAGGCTGCAGGGCTGTAGTAGGTCTGGTGGGACGTAATTGTTACAATCCTAGGAAGACACAATTTAAATGAAAGAAATTTTTAATGGGCATAAAACTATAAGGATTTTCAATTTTTAAGAATAACAAACTTTGGGGCCTCCCTCGTGGCGCAAGGGGTTAAGAGGCAAACTATGAAGCTATTCGCAGCCACTGCAGCAATAGTTCGATTCCAGGCCAGGGAGAAACCCACATGGCACAGCAGACCTCTCCTGTCTCACCCGCTGCTACCTTCAGCAGTATATTTCAGTCAGTCTGCCTGTTCTGTTCCCCACTCTGTCTCTGGTGAATCCTCTCACCCCCACCCCCAGCCTGCACCCCAGTTCTTGTGTGCATAAATAAATAAATCTTAAAAAAAAAGAATAATGGACATTATCAGAGTTAGGTCTGTGTACACTTTGCAATCTGTTTGGTTTAAGATATTGATGGTGATTTCGGTTTATGAACTAGAAGGACAATTTTGTGATTGCAAAGAGCACCGTACATACAGCCTGGGTTATTTTATTTATTTTCTGTTTTACTTTATAAATTAAAGAAAAATTCTATTGATAAATGTTAGCTTGGAATTACCCAGCAATCAAAACACAGCAGTCTTTGTCTGGCAGCCATTACCCAGCAGTTTTTGCCCAGCACCCAATACCCAGCAACCATTATCTGTCTCGTGAAAGTTTTGTATAATAAACTCTCTTAAAAGTACACTCAAATTTTCTGAGCATCCTATTATGAATCTACATGGGTTTGAACTAAAGTAACTCTGAAGTTTGCACCAGTCTCTTTAAGCATGTTGTGTTTTTACATTGTCTTATGTTTAAGCTAATCATTTCAAAGGTATTGATTTATGATTTGAGTCTCATGAAATGACACAACAGTGGGTTCTAATGCTTATTCAGAACTTCAAGCAATAACATTTAATGAATATTATCCACATGAAAATAATTTTACTAGAACCTCCCTGGTGCTGCCGGGATTCAGTCTCAGCGCTATCAAGCTATCTCTAGTCACTGCAATGTGTGAGTTTGATCCAGGCCTGGGAGCTGACCCACATGGTACAGCAGACCTCTGCTGTCTCCCCAGCTGCTCCCCTCAGCAGTGTATTTCAGTAGATCTGCCTGTTCTGCCCGCCACTCTTGTCTCTGGTGAATCCTCTCACCCCCCATTTCTCTGCCCTATACCCCAGTTTTTCTATGCATAAATAAATTTTAAAAATCTTTAAAAAAAAAAGAAAATAATTTTACTAGAAGATAATGTTTGGTCATAGGTCATGCAAATTTGGGGAAATAATTTTTATTCACTGACTCTCACAGATAAATTTATGAACTGAGTACACTACATATTCTGTCTTCAGGATGGCATAATAAAATGTGGGTGCAATGTGGCATGCTTGGTAGATAAGGGAAATTAGAGTTAATGACTTGGTTTTACCAAACTGTGAGTATGTTTTTAATGGAAATTAAATCTAGAGTTTTGAATCTAAAACGAACATAGATATAATAAACACTTTTCTCAGAGTCAAGGAAAAAAGCTCATCTTAATAGAAATGTCTATTTCCTTTGAAAGTATACATTATTTTAAAAATAAACTGAATCCATTATTTTAAAAATAATTGTGCACATGGTTATGTTTCAGAGGGACAGGAAACAGGATCAGAAATAATGCCAAGCTAGTTGCAGAGTGACATTGCGGGTGGTAAATTTGGAGTTAACTGGCCCAGTTGAATTTCTGATAACCTCAGTTTGAAAAATATATGGGGCCTATTGTACACTTGTCAGAGAGGCCATATTTTGTTTTTATAACAGACAGTGTTCAGTAATCTAAACACAGCTAATCAAAACTAAGCAAAATTAAATAAAACCAAGCTAATATTTTTTTTCTTTTTCAGAACTAACAACAAACACATTTACTCAAAAAACATTTCTTGGGTATTTGTTGTTCACAAACAGCAAGAAAAACATATGTTCCAAACTCTCTGCTGGTGTCACATTTCCTACTTTCCTATTGATGATTCACTGTGCTGGGTAGAAGCTGCCACCCACCTCACCCACGTGGGCAGTGCCTCCCCAAGGTTATAGTCAGAAAGAGGAAACTTTGGCAAACAATATGCCAAGGAGCTTCCACAGTTGTCTACAAAACCTCAATCAGGTTACATGAATGTGTTTTTCTTTAAATTGTGGAAGGTGTTCATGTGTGGTCTTTAAGAAACATCACCGAGGTTACAGGCTTAGGAATCTTCAGGAGTTAAAATACTCGTATTCATGCAATTTACTGGGTCACCATTTTCTGCTCACTGGGTCAGATTAGCATATTATCAAAAGGATGGGTCAGGATGATGTTTTGGGAAATGGAAATACATGGAGAGTAGAGGAGGCCACTTTGCCTTGAGGCAAGATAGTGAAGCTACTGGCATCCTGACCATGGAATGCAAAATTTTCTTGCTCTTCCTGACTGATGAACGAGAACATTCACCAAATCATTGCCATTTACCAAGGCTGCATTTCTGCTCCAATAGAGACATCAAAATCCTGTCCTGCATGTACCATGACCTAGATCCATTTGTTTTCTACAGAAGTAGGTGGGTGGACTAGTTCTTCCGGTACATTTGGCATTTACATGCCATTCCCCTACTTAGATTAAAAGAAAAAGTCAGAAAAGTTAGACAACACAACTTGAAGTGCAAGAGAATTCTTCATGGAGTGACCTTGATCAATGAGAAATGAAGGGTGGTGGGGAGCAGTCCAGGTGGCTTCTGCATCTTTTTTTCCCTTCTATAGTATCATTCGAGATGTGGCATATGTAGAATAAGTATGAAGACATCCTTTGAGGCCACAAGACACATCTGCAATATTTGTTCACATCTGGTAACTCTGTGGCCATCACGGTAACAAATCATCTTGCTTTTCCTCCATCATTCTCTGTTTCATTTTTCTTTGTCCTTGCTCTCATTGACCTGAATTTTCATCTCCCAAACAAAGCATCAGCAATTTCGCTTTGCCTTGGGCTGTGTTTTCTAAGATCCTTGGGATATTGTCAATTTTAAAAATGTGAAAGCTGAGAAGAGACCAAAGGTTGCCCAATAATTATAACTATATGTCACAGACTTGGCATGTTTTGGTAACAATGGATTTCCTTTTTGTCTTTCACAGAGTTTGTTAAGAATTGGCCATCTGTTTTGTACTATACATTTTCCTTTATATTGCAAACAGATTATTGATACTCAACTCCTTAAACCTTTTTCTCCTACACCTGCTCTTTATCTATGTCAATTATATCCATTAACTATCTCTGACAGTAAAACCTGGCAGACTTGTCAAAAAGAGGAATGAGACAAGAAAGAAAAAGAAATTATGTCACACCCAATTATTTCCAGTTCAACTAAAGTCTGTCAATTACATCCATATCACCTCCTCCCATGCTCTCACCAACTTTCATTAAATGCTCTGTTTTGCTCAATCAACTTACTCAATTTCTTTCTAACCATATTTTCTCAACTTTATCCAATGTAATCTGATCACATCATCATTTCCCACTTTCTTTCACTTAATCCAGAGAATTCTTACATGATTTAAAACATTTTTCTGTGTTAGCGGCAGCAATGATTAATGTGATAGTTAAATAACAATGATTAAAAAATGTGTTTAGAGATCCAGTAGGCAATTGGAGGCCAACTGCATACAACAATTTATTAATCAACAATTGGTTGATGAATTAATATTCTTTTTATTTATTAGTGGTTCAAGATAAATGTTTTAATTTCTGGCTTAGAGTGCGTTCAGTAGGAACGTGAACCTCTGTCATTAACTAAATGATGGCAGAAGGCAGGAAAAAAATGTTACTCGACATGTAACATTTGATTGAATCTGATTTTGACCAAAGTCAACTAGCAGAAAAGTAGCTGTATGTATTACAGCCTTCTCTTAGCCCTGAATTATCAAGTTACCTTCTTGGTATACTTTTTAAAAGGCTTCATTGTGATAATCTCAATATTTATAGTGTGATTGTCACTCAAGATGGACCAAATGTAACTTTGACTCACAGTACTATTTAGTTTCATTGCATGAGACTCTCTAAATGTAATATAACTTTATGGCTATGCATCTCTTTGCCAGTATAACCAATGACTGTGTTCTAGGATTGAGGAAGAGCAAGTGTAAAGAGATTAGTGTAGGGACAGATTGAGCTAAATTTATGAAGATAAAATCTTAAGCACAACAGGTAGTGCAATGAGAAGATCATTAGAAGAAAGGCCACATCAGGGAAAATTTTTTGGTAAGGGATTTTGATTTATTCTAAGTGTTATGGGGCAGGGGGACTATCTCATGGCTTGAATTTTTAATGTTTGCCTTTAAAAGAGTGTAGAGGACAGTAGTTCATTGAAGTTGCCAGGGACTCTCTGAGACTGTCATGCTGATTCAACAAATAGCAGTTAAGTTCCCATAAAATGTAAGAAATAATCTGTTTATGTGTAAACACTTATATGATAAACATAAGAAAAAGAAAACATAAGAAAATCAACTAATTGTTGAAGCTCTATTTCATGTCCTTGTCATCCATCATGAACCTGTAAGAGTTTGGTACATAGAAAATAAAAGAATGGTTAAAAGTCAAATTAGAACATTCTTATTATAAGATATTTTATGTGGAAATCTTCTATTTAGGCCTTGTCTTATCTCTGTTTTATAGATAGCAAGGTGCTCATATAATATCCATCTGATTTTTTTAAAAAAGATTTATTTCTTTATGCATACAAGAACTGGGGTATAAGCCAGAGGTGCGGGTGGGGTAAGGGGTGAGAGGATTCACCAGAGACAGAGTGGGGAGAAGAGCAGGCAAATATACTGAAATACACTGCTGAGGGGAGCAGCTGGCAAGGCAGGAGAGGTCTGCCGTGCCATGTGTGTTGCTCCCTGGCAGCCAGGGATCGAACCAGTGCTGCAGCGGCTGGTGGTAGCTTGAGAGTGCTGTCTTTAACCTCTGCAACAACAGGGAGGCCACTTCATCCCTGAGTTTTAAATTTTATATCTGTTTACAGTTTTACTCATGCTTGTTGATATTAAGGGAAATCTGATCAACAGAAACTCTTGTGCAGATAAAAAATGATAAGCATATTATTAAACTGTTGATATAGTTTTACAACATTGAGATCTGAAAGACATGATGGACTACCGGTCTACCATTCTGGACATCACCGTACCCATTAGAATACTCAAGTCATACCTCTATCAGGCTGGTGGGGTTCTTTGGTGTCCTCTCCTGGTTCTTGCTGTCGGAGGTGGTGATTCTGGAGGGAACATCTAGCTCCAGGGAGGCTGGCTCTCTTTGGGCATTCGCCACAGAAAATCTTGATAAAGGGGAAAAAAAAAAAAAAGAATGATTAAATACAAATAAGAATAAAGTATGGGAGACAGTTATAAAGATTATGAGGAAAATATTTACACATCTTTTATCTTCCCAATAGAAACACAGGAAAGGACAAATTCTGTTAAATGGTTCAGAAATCTCATGAATTTTCCCCAATGCACCAAAGTTTAAAATTATTCTTATCTCGAAATAAATTCTATTGATCCCATTTTTTTTTCATTCTGGGTCAAAAATAATAACTTGAGTGACAGACCTTTTTCAAATTACGAATTTTATTGTGGTTAAAAACCCCACATACCAGGAGTACCCTCTGAGCAAATGAACCAGTCAACTCTGAAGTAGAAACACTGCAGTTTTGTTAACAGTGCAGAGAGTGCTACAGATCTCAAGAACTATTCCATATTGCATCATTGAAATGTGCTTGTCCTTTGAATTGCCTTCTCTTTAAACAACAGGGTAGATCTGAATAATTTCAAGATTCCCTTTGTTTTAGAACAGGAATGAGGTAAAGTTATAAGTCGTGGTGTTCAGAGGAACTTTCTTTCAGCCGCTTGCCCTGTCAGTGAAATAAATACAACTTCACCTCCGGACACAAAGTCTCTGAATCACAAAAGTTATAAAACAAGGGTGATGATGCAGATCAGCTCTTTAGCAAATGACTATTTCCCTCCGTGAGCCTGTTATAGAAACACCACTTATTAAAAAGACAAAGCCCAACTAGAATGCCCTCTAATTTATCCATGTTTTCCTCATAATTTGGCTTAAATGTTCCCACCCTCCTCTCAATTTCCATCAAGTATTACCTGCAGGTTCTGACAGACACCCTGAAGTGATGTCACCACTCGATCTGGAAAGCATAACCCCCACCTTCTAACTTTTGATGCATTTTGTACATTAGAGATGCCTCTTTCATGATTGAATGTCACTGGAGCAGTTATTGATAATTGATTACTCTGATTCTTGTCCACAATAGCCAGAGCTGTGCTTTCCTCCCTGTGGGGACTTAAATTGCTTCTTTACAAGTGAATGATTGAATAGATAAATGGCTTAGACAAGTAATTAATGAAAGCAAAGAAAGGTTAAGTGGAATAAACAGAATAAATAGTTTAAAAAATTGAATTAACCAGGGTGTAGGGAAGATGAAATCACTTTCTCTAAGGAAAAGTCTAAAAAATCAATAATCTTCCTTTTTTCAGTATTGAAAAGAGTGAGAAATCTAATTTGCTAAAGTCAAATTTGTTGAAATATGATGCAAAATAACTAATTCTATATTTAATATGATTTTTAATCAAATCATTACTGTCTTCTACATTAAAAATCTATAAGTGCAATCTAGAAAATTGCTCCAACCTGGTTTGGAAAATATACTGTCTTTAGTTGGATATAAATTTTAACAGACAGCTGTTTTCATCAAACATATAGGAAGTTTAAATTACCTAAATCATTTTAGATAATAAAGACTGATATGTCTATAGGAAAATCATTTGCTTGAACAGAAAGCATAGTGAGATTCCATATTTTATGGAAAACAAGTGCTTTGATCACAACAGGAAATTTTTATATTTTCTATTATTTTTATGTAGTAAATGTCTTGCACAGTGGTGATTATTTAGAATATATAAAATTAAAGAAAACATTTATTTAGAAAATATTATTTTAATAATAGAATAGTTAATACCCAACTGCATATGAACTATATCTTTCTTATTCTGTTCTCTGTAGTTTCTCATGAACAAAAAATAACTAACCTTTCTGTAGGCTAAATATTTCCCTGTGGTCACATTAGAGTATTTGGCAAATTTAATGAAGTCCCTAAAGTAAATGAGTATCATGTTGAAAGCACATCTCCTTCCTCTGAACTTATATACTTTTCTTTATTCAAGAAATAATTATCTACAAAAAAGATTAAATTATTAAATTGTAGATACTTATTTGGATTCATTGTGTAGTTCTTAAATATGTTTCCAGATTAGGTGAGCGCAGTAATTTAAGTTTGAAAGAAACCTATTGTAATGTTAATGCATCTATTTTTCAAATGAACAATTCCTCTTTTGTTGAATATATTGAAATTAGCAAAGTTGACATTGTCAATGATATACAAGTAAGAATTAATTATATTCATATAAATTAGATAAATTGTAAAAACTCCTATTGAATTCTAATACTATTCAAAAAAAAGATGCAAATAAATCCCTCTACTATATTTTGGAGGAATAGTGCATTAGCTGCTTTTATGGACCCAATGCAGTCTGAATGTGCTGTCTTCCTCTATACTTTCCTTCTCTGTATTATACGATAGATGCTCTCCAATATTTCCCAAAAGAGAACTTCTGCCCAAATTGTAAATTTAACAAGACTTCCGATTCCTAGATGTTCATGGACATCTATGCTTATTTCACTCCGTAGGTTTGGGAAATTCTCAGCTATTATATCTTTGAATATAGTCCTTGCTTCCCCCCGCTTCATCTTCTGAAATACCCATTATCATCATGTTTCCCCTTCTAGCTGACTCTGATCATTCTTGTAGAGTTTCCTCATTTCTTTTTTTAAATATATTTTATTTTATATAATTCTTACATCATTTTTCATTTTTGCACAATGTATGCATTTACATTTTGGTTGTATTCTCCATGCAATTCCCACCCCCCTTATTTTGACCCTAATCCCTCCTCCCCCGCTATAGTGTATCTCTGGTTTATAGTTGCTTGTTGATTTTGATTTTTACTTTATTATAATTAGTCTTTTTCCTGGTCCCTTATTTAGGTTTTCTAAATTCCTGCTATGAGTGAGACCATCCGGTATTTTTCTTTTTCTTTCTGTCTTATTTCGCTGAGCATGATCCCTTCCAGTTCCATCCATGTTGCTGCAAATGGCATGAGTTTATCTTTTTTGATTGCTGACTTTCCTCATTTCTTGCATGGGCCTTTTGATTATAAGCTGTGCCGTGTTGAAGTCAACACATTTTAGGTATTTTATTTCTTAGCTAGAGCTGAAGGTGAGTGGAGGAGAGCAGGGAAAAACAGTAGGGGACCAGGACAGCAGCAGTCAGGAGAGAAAGAAAATAATTTGTGAAATCAATGGCATTTATTGAGTAACTTTTAAGTAATTTAAGCAGTTTATCTCCCGTGCACACTTCCTTTCATCCACATAGTCACTCTGGAGACAAGCTTTATTTCTGACACCAAATCTTAGCAAGAAGAAAAGCAAATCTCAGTTAAGTCAGGTAACTGGCACTGAGTCGCACAACCTATCAGTAGCAGAACGGAGATCTGCACATGGTTCTATTTGTCCAAACATTCCACTAGCTGCACTCCATAAAGTGTCATGACACTTCTCTAAGACCTACATTCATGACCTTCTGTTATTAAAATTTAATTGGCAGCAAACTTCCTACCTCTAAGACTGAGGAAACAGCTGAGTATCAAATACTTAATGTGCTCCACTCCAAGTACTGATTTCTTAATTTTGTTCTTGATCCACACAATTAAGAGGAATTGCTTTTAAGAGAGTAATCCTTGTGTTCATCCAACATACAGGTATGACGTGATATGCAGCAATAGAAGATCAGGAGAGTTTTAATCAGTTTAAGAAAACAAAAATGGACTTGATCATCTCAGAGACTAGTGATAGGACTTGTAATAAGTTGCTGACAATGGACAAGTATTTACAGATAAAATAACCTAAAATAGTCTGAAGACCTGAGAAGAATGCCTCATTAAATCTTTGGCCAATGATTGAAATTATTGTATAGAATAATTATATCATTATGTAGAATTATTGTATCATTATGTCCAGAAAGTTTCATGATTTACTAGTAAGCATGGTATTGTTTAGTGTAGTACAGCATAGCACAGCATAACATGGTGGTGCAGTACTGTTAGTATGATTAGTGTGATATTGTTTGCATGGTGCTGTTTATAGCAGAGCATGAAATAGAGAGCACACAGCAGAACACAGCATCAACTGGTGGAGGTTTGTGCGAAGACAGGAGTTTAGGTAAAGACTCAGATGCCTAGAAGTCTCTGAAATATGAAAGCCATGTTGTGGAAAAACCAGAATTTAAGCAAAGATCTATCCTCATACTGCAACTTGTCATGAATTTCTGTAATACTCTTGTTTGGTCCAGTAAACAGTCTAGTTTCTGGATGAAACTTCCGGAACAGTATTTACCTGATAACAAAATTACTTCTCTGTGCAGTAAAGATTCTGGATGAGGGTTTTCTAAGTTTCCCACTAACTGGGAAAATTTGGGTCCAAAGTCCCTATGTTCTGCCTACTCCAGAAATACAAGCAGAAACCTTGTCTGAACCTCTCGCTCCTACGGTCCTTGGAGAATTATGCCCAAGACATAAGGTACTCGCTTTCCACCCTTAAGGAATTCATAGTGATTTATTTCAAGTTAAATGGTGTAACTTAAAAACTAACTCTGATCTCAGGTGCATTTCTAATTTTTGATGGTAAAGTGACTAGAACATTAAACTAGACCAAAGACTTAGCTTCCCATCTCATGCTCCTTCCCATGAAAATTCACTCACCACAGAACGTGTCAACGGTGTCTCAGGGATACGATCGGGTACTCTCGCCCATCAGCAGGGAATGAGAAACAGAGTACCACTTTTATGAAGTGCGTGGTATCTTTGCATGACACTAAAGGAGAATTATAAATATCATTAACACTATTAAATTAGATGCTTCAATTTACAGTTGTAGTTAATTGCTTTACATTTTGATAAAATTATCACAGCTGGATATTTTAAACATCACCCTCGATGTACAATACATATAATTTTATATAGTCTATTAGCCTTTCAAAATAGTTTTTCTCCCTCATTAACATTAGTAATATTAGTCCCAAATACTTGAAGCATTTTTTTTTTCTATTTTTATAGCGTTAAGCTATTAAAGAAAAACCATCACACTCTCTGAGGAGGGCACAAGGAACTGGTTTATGCTGTTTTTGTTGCTCCAGTACATATAGACAAAAGTTTCTGTGACTTTCTGAGGCTAAAAGTGACAATTCTACAAATATTTTGTCTTGAAAAGTCTTCTAATATATTAAATATTAATCAAAACGCCTGTGTGTACTCTACGTCTGGATGTGGCACATAGATCTCAGTTATTTGTTATAGTTATGATTATGATGGATGCATAAGAATCTCTGAAGCTGAGAGTTCTACAATATTTATAAAGGAAGAATCTCTGTAAGTTATGGAATATTTTGCTATACTTGCTAAATTTAATTTTTATGATGGCTGCCATCAACGTAGTACAGAAACTGGAAAAATTCTTGCTTTATACGGTCGATTTAAAAGCTGGCCAACAAAGTAGTTAATATATAGGTTCCTTTGAAACATGAAGGACTGGCTTACAATAACCATTACTGACTGTGTGTTCTGGATTTCTCCCTGGAAAGTTCCCTATTTCATGCCAATTTATTTGTTTGTTAACTAAAAGTCCTTAGCAAAAGAAATGCATATTACCTAGGAGAATTAACACATTAATTTTGTATAAATTGAAAGCAAATTCAATAACCATTCATTTATGAAATCTATTGTTCTAGCTGGGTGCTGAGAAGCCAATGAAGAACCCAACAGTTTCTTTCTGAATTAACAACAAATCATAGAGCTTGTGAGGAAATAGACAATTATAGAAAACATCTGATTTAAACTTGCCCCTTGCAACTCTGACATATGCCTCTGTTCTATGCTTTCAAGATTAGCCATTTCTCACATTTTTATAACATCGGAAAGATGAAAGTGATAATGCCTTTGACTAGTCAGTAAGATAACCAGATTTTTAAAATTGCAATGATTCCAAAAGTGTTCAGGCAGGGCATACCATTTGCTGCCTAACTTCTTGGACCAAATGTCCATCCATGAATCCATCATGGTGGCTGAGGGACAGAGCACATTGGCCTGGCATGGGCTCTTCTCTCCCTGAGGGCAGAACTCAGAATTGGCCTTCTCTCCACACCCCGTAAGCTGGGTATAGACAGGGGGTGGGAGTGGAGTCTTTCTTCACAGGAGAACTAGATTTTGTTACACCATAAGCAATATTTCACAGCTAAATCACAGATGACCACTGTAATCTCCATAAGTTCAGATATGAAGGATTAACTTGGTTGTTGCAAATGATAACAAAGTTGGGAAAATATAACTCTGTATAGAACAACTTAGACACTGCAACATCGAAGGTATTTTATTTGTCTCCCTATTTTATGATGTGTCCTTATACTCTGGTACTTGATAGACTTAATTGCCTTCCACAATATCTTAGTTAAAAATCATATATCTATGTGTTGAAATATTTTTCTCATTAATTGTACTTTAAAGAATGAACTATTAAGTCCAGTGAAATCAACAAAAGACCATGTGACCTCCTAGGCTTCACTCATACTTTACATGTTACTTAGAAACACCTAGAGGTCTGTCATCTCAATCAATCAATAAATCAGTCAATCAGATCACACCAATTTAATGAGAATGTCACCCATAGTTCACACATTTAGTGAAACTCTTTTGGGAACATGTTCTTGACTCTATTCCTTGTCTAACACTTGTGTTATTGTAAATAATATGACAGTCAGAAGTCACTAAGACTTTACTCAACTTTTCAGTAGCAATATTCAGTTCTTTGGATGTTAGTTGCTTGGATTTTAGTTGCTTAGAGGGTGGCCCAATGGCTGTTTAAAAGCCTGAGGATGGTGGTGGCAGCAATGAAGACGGTCTCTAAAATCCTCACTCCCTGGTGTAGACATCCCATGTAATCCCTTCCCCTCGATGTGGGGGACGGGGTAAGCTGTTTCTCCTGTAATTAGGTTGCTTCAAGCGACAAATTAGCAGGTTTGAGTCAATCCAAGGATTTTCCTGGATGTTCCTGATGTAATCAGGTAAAAAAAACTATGGAAGATGGACCCTTCTCTTCCAGAAGCCAGCGGGCCCGCAGCAGCAGGCTGGCTGTGGCTGCTCCGGGAGGCACAGGCTGCCATGTACTCTACAGCCATATGGCAGTGATTCCCGCCAACAATATACAGAGACTTGGAAGCAGATTGTTCCCGAGTCAAGCTTCCGTGTGTCTGTAAGTGTCCAGAGGATTGAATTGATTTCTTCAGTTGAGAGCCTCGTCTGATACGGAGTGGAGGACCCAGCTGAACTCTACTTACACTGGCGCCATGTAGGAGCTGTGAAATAATAAATGTGTTGCCATCAGCCACTACCTTTGTGGTTATTTGTTAGGCAGAGATAGAAAAGTAATTCAAAGATAAAATAGTAGAAACTATAAATAACAGTTGTTTGAGTTGCCTTTCCTAGATGTGCTGTATCCAGAGGACATTTATTTTGGCATTAAATATCAGAGGACTTTGTTTTGATAGAACCAGACAGAGGAGAATGTTGAGATAAAATGGAGCATTCCGATATACTGGATGGCATTTTCACAGGCGGGGAAGATTAGAGCAGCCTCAGCTGCTCTGATGAAGAAAAATGGCGCTGGAGAAGTTGGCATATGCTGTAAACGGTCTGCATGTGAGAACCAGAGGCCGCAATCTCGTAAAATTGAGTAGGAGTCCTGTCTTAAAACTCAAACAAGAACACAGTTCTTGCCTGGATTTTATATCATTTTGGAACGAGGCAGAGGCTGTTGATAAAAATTATGGGGGAAGAAGTTAATGCATCCCTGTCACATACACCTGAAGCACTGTAATTACCTGGCTTGGACTGTGAATGAAATTCTCTCACGGGATGACTAACTGTTTTGCTGTTGATAAAGAAAAGTTCAATCTTACAGGAATATTGATGTATTCAGAAGGCCATGCCTGTTAGCTCAACAGATCCGTAGGTGACAGCAAAATCTCGAGGAACAAGAATAACTTGGCAGGTGGATAGAGAATAAAAATAAAAGGAAATCAGGGACAGATACTATTAGCAGAGCCATAGGAAATATTTGTAACTGGATTATGATTGAGCATCAGAATTCTGATTTCTTTTTTAGGGGAAAACAGGGTAAAATACAAGCTATTGGGATCGTTCAGGTAGTGAAGGAACTGGAAATATGTTAGGTGGGTCATCAAATCTGGAACTCAAGTACTTTTGAAAAAAATAGACTATAAAAGAAAAACAGGCATGGTTATGTATACAGATGGGGAAACAGAGGTACAAGTTATTCTCTGCATCACTTAACCTGTTCTCATTTAGTGAAATTATGATTTTATGATTTGATAATTTTATAATATACCAAATTGAAATATTGATGGCAGAGTAAAAATATTGACTATAAGCACATGTAGTAAAGCTGAAGCATATATTCAGTTATGTTTTAGTTGCTCTCATAGTCATTCCTCAAACACAAACCCAAGAAAATGGAAGCTGCCTCCTGTAGCTTCAAAGAACAGCCCTCCCCAAGAGGGAGAGAGGAGAGGACAGAAGGTCCCCCTAAATTCCAGCTAATAACACACGTCTGCTTCCACTTTGCTTCTAGCTGTGTGAGAGCAGTGCCTCTCTCAGGCCTAACACTAACTCCCCACCTGCATTCTGAGTGCCCTTCTCCTTGTTTGTTTGTTTTTTTTTTTTTTTAGTTTCCAAGGGACCCCTTTTATTATAGCCGTTCTTTCTGGGATTTGGGACTTTTCTTTTGGACCTTCTCACCAGCAATTCATCATGTTTTTATTTTGTTTATTCAGCGAAGATCCTCGCCTGCACCTGTGCTACCTCAGTTACTACCTTCTTTACCCTCCTCCTTCCACACAGGAACGTTCCTGAGGTGACTATCCTGATGGTGTCCAGCCTCCGCATACCCTGTACCATCCTCAAGCTTGATCTCTCTCCACTCCAGAGACTCCTCCCCAAGGTAACCACTCATGTGGTCGCTCTTTCCTTCCTTAATTCTGTGGCATCAGGTGTCCCCCTAATCATTACCTCTACTGACTCTTCCTCCTCTTTTCATTTACAGAATATCAACAGATGACTCTGGCTTCTTTGAGGGTCAATGTCATCATTTGTCCGGTCTTAGCCATGAAGAAAGGCAGGCAAGCATCGAGGGGGTCTGACCCCCTTCCACGCCACTCCCACCGGAAGGCATCTTTCCCTTGAGTGATCTCTGGCTAACAGCAGCATAAATAATTCTGACGAGGAATATTTAGTCCACAGCGATGTCATCCTCGGGAGACTTTCTCCACTACTGCTTGTTTGCTTCGTGAGGGAACAAAGGAACCAATTTTCAAATTTATATTCATTTTAAAAAATTATGTGTTTTTGAAAGGAGTAGTTTTCATCCTAAATTAAGCAACCACAATTTTGATAATTTTGAGTATTCAGCTAATATTTTATTCTTATTTCAAACAAACTGTCTTAGCAAGGGTTAGATTTAAAGAGAGTTTTGCATTTCTATCCTAGTGAAAAAATGAATTTAGGAACTTCCTATTTTCTTCTCTTAGGATCATTATCTTTCCAGTTCTGATCCATGTCCTCCTTGTTTCAGAATAATAACTCCAAACACTCTCTTCTACTCAAACACAACTTAGCTTTTCAGGGACTATTTCCCTCATGGCCCAGAAAGTAATTGCTTTCCTAATCTCTGTCAATCTCATGAAGATAAAATGCTACTACTTGAATAATTCATTTTCTTAAGATTGTTTACAATTTAAAAAAGCATTGCAGAAAATGTCTCTTTACCCAAAGGAAAGGCTCTTTAACAATGGATATCTTCACACTGACAGACTGAGTTTTAGAACCGGCACTTCAAACCACAGCTCTCAGGCTGAAACCAGCCCGGTGCTGGCTCATGGAAGACCACTTCACGAGGGTTCTCCTCATTCACCCCAATTTGCTCTTTTAAAATTTCTAACTGCCCCTCCTTGTACTTTACATTAATAAATGCCATTCTATTTCCTTGGAATTATTTTATTACATTTGTAGTCACGTCAAACTGCACATACTCATTCATTTTCTAGGCCAAAACAAAACAAAACAAGCCAACATTCTATGGCTTAGTGAGGTTCATTTCCAGTTCTGGACTCCATCCAAGCACTTTTTATGCTTTCCTGAGATTGTCTCCAAATCACATGTGACCATGCAGTCATGAATGAGATACTATTGCATGTAAGGACTTTTGCTTATTAAATTATACTTTATATGTTGAGTCCAAGCAAACCCCTGTCTCCTGTGAGCACCTCGAGCCTGAACTCAATCCAGTCACATCCACTGCACTGCGACATCTGATTAGCTGTTTCACCAGGTGTCACAAATTTAGGAGACCCAAACCCGAATCCCCCTGCTGTGCCCCTTCCGGCTTCTCCCAGGCAGCAAACCCTCTTCACTCAGACTCCGCCATCCGTCCCATCACTCAGGGACAAACCTGTCACTGCTGTTTCCCAGACATCTCACAGTGACTCAGACAATCTGTCACTTTTACCTCCCAAATAGACCCACATCCTGCCAGGTTCCTCCTATATCTTGTATCACCCCAGACTGAATCAACATCTTCTCTGGCTCAGGTTACTGACATGACTTGTTAATTGCCCCCTAATGGCAGCCAGGCTCAGGCAAGTCATCTTTTGTGGTGGAGCCACTAGGCTGATTCTTTACAATACCCTCCTGCTCACGCCCTTGGGTTTTTTCTCTAACAGAGCTGATCTAGCGGCCCTGTCTAGTCATTCTGTGATGTGTATCACTGTGGGGTCCTTAGTGATTTTTCCCCTCTTGATGAGTGGCATTTTCCTGGTTTTGTGGTATGGTTTTTGGCATAGCTGCTCATTTTCTATTGGATTCCAGCTGTTGTTACTTTGACTTTCTCTATTACTAGATTTTTCACTTTCTAATTTCTCTAACTAGATGGGGCGTTGCTTTGGGGGGTGATTACATTTTTTAGAAACAGTTTGAGATTTGCTTTTAGGCTTTGTTAAGTGGATGCTCAACAGTCCTTTACCCTTTTATCTGGGGCTAATTTTCCCCTGTAGCCCCAAGACTTCCCTTTTTGTTTCCCCTGAGAAATATACTTATCCCGTCCCCTGAGAAATATACTCTCGGTGCAGGAGATCTCTTTACCCAGGTTGGGGTACGGGAACCATTCTTAGCACTGCGTGAATTTCCAAAACCAGTCCTCCTGCCTCATTCTGGTGGGTCCTTCCTGGCTGTGGTGATTTCCTCTAAGCACTAAGTTGCCTGAGAACTCTGCAGGTCTCCTGAGACTGTGAAGTGCCCTTCTCTGCAGTGATCAAGTTAATTCCTATATCAGGGCCCACAAAATAGAGCCTCCCCACCCCAGTGGCCCAGTCCACACCACAAATCTCAACTTCAGTCAGCCTGCCCTTCCAGGAAACGCCTCACTGCCAAGGAAACCTAGCCCCACCACAGTCTTCCAGGTGGCTTACGCTGCTGTCTGGATTCTAGAAAACGACCTGCTAGCCTTGTAAGGAAGTCCCCACTTGTAGCCTTCCTTGCTGTCTGCTTTACGTTTTCTTTCTATAATACCTGCTCTCGCCCAATATCCCTAGGGAAGAGTGCTCTCCTGCTTATGGGGCGCTCTAGCCTCAAATCGTGAATAATTTTCCTTTGAATAAAAGACACAAAACTGATCTCTGGATTGTATTATTATTGTTATTTGACTCCAGTTTCCAAACTGGAAACGGCTTGGGCTGTCTGAACTCTCACCCCCCAGCTTAGGAATGCTCTGGGCTGTGTGAGTGACGTCTCTTAGCAGCATCCTGAACACTCTCAAGAAGCCAATTGTGAGACTCACCTCCTTTGTTCCTATCTTTCAGAAATCACCGTCCCAGCTGAAAATGGCCCAGTTTGAAAACTGTTCTTACCATATAGTCTGTCCATTGTTTAAAGATTATTTCAGGAAGAGAGAAAATCTGTCCCTTATTGCTCCATTTTAGTTGAAAGTGGAAGTCCAGAGATGGCTCTTATGGAATCAATGCTTTTCTATTTTTTTATTTTTTTCCCTAGATAGACTTGTTTCTATAAATTCAGTGTATCAACAAGATTTTCTGCAATTAATCTTGCTGTCTCAGCTCAATATATTACCTGACTTTACAAAGCTTTAGTAGAGCAACAAATAGAAAATTTTGCCTTTGTTTTGCTTATGTTCACAAGATGAGTGTGTGCTCATGTGCATGATTTTTGTCTTTCTCCAGTGGTCACTTTTAGGAGAATTATGGGACCTGAATAGTATTATAACACA